TTTGCGCATGCCTATACCGGAGAAACCCATGAGCAGGGCCCTGATAATAATTATCTAGAGGGATTAAAAAGTCTTTTACAACTATTGAAAAGTTTCAAGGAATAGTCAAGAAAAACAAGTATCAATATGTAGTATCAAATAAAGTATTTTTTTAACAATTTTCAACCAAAATCAATGCAAGCCCCCTATAGTATTTACATTTTCATTTTTATGGGATTCGATTTGATGTTTTATAGCAGCTCATAAAAGTAATCCAAGCCTTGCCCAAGCTCCCAAATGGCAATGCCAACTCCTAACTCTTCTGCCAACTCAATTCTTTGCTTGATGGAATATATAGTTGGATAGTATATTGTATGCTTTCCTGACTTTGTCCTGTAAGAGGAAAAGACTGTTAATAAAAGAAACCTTGTCAAATCATGAGAAGCAGTAAGTACACTGGCAAGACGAGCTGGCAAACAAGACTCACTTAATTTCAACAAAGTTTTCTTCTGACTCCCGGTCAAGCTTCATTTTACCCTTTAATGATTTTGTTAAGTCAACAAACTGGTTGCCGAGTATAGCCTCTGGGCCACCAGAGGTGAAATGATAGCCATAAAAATTCATACCAAGGAGTATTTTTGCTCTTTTAGAATTCTCATTTTGGGGAACTACAAGCTCAACACTCTCCTTCATCCACTGCAATGGACTAGTGGGTCCTGATATGTATAAAAATTTTTAAAAATACATCAGATTGATTTTCTTTGAAATAGAGAGAAAACTGAATGTATTGCGAAAGTCACCTGGATTTCTCTGACTGCTTGAATAATCATAGGTCATAATTGAAAATGCTGTTACTGTATCAGCTAGAAGATCAAAATGTCTGTTTCCGAAAATAGTCTGTGGCCTAGGTAAAAGAACAGAATAGAGAGAGACCAAATATTAGCACAAAAGATCAGATAATAAATTTACATTAGCAGTCAAAATTTTTTTTTTTTTCTAACCCACGAATTGGTGGGATGACCAAAATAAAGTCTTTATTAAGAGTTTGCAGCTTGATGGAAAGAAGTTTAACAAATTCCATCGCAGAAACAACATTTCCTGAAGATATTAGTTGCATCCATCCTTCCAGTACAATGCCATCAAAATCATATTTCTGTGAAAAAAAATAAATCTTCATTCACTATTGCGTATTACAGCATTAAAGGATAATGGTTGGATAATTTTCAGAGAACAAAATGATACTGAAATAGTCTGTACCGGTACCTTTATAAGATTTGTTATCAACTTGATCACCTTATCCCTTGCCGCTTGTCCTTCTAATTCCTGGATATGCTGCGGAGTCCATCCATCCAATAAAATTCTTGGAACCACTATACACAATTGAAGATTAATACATTTTTTTCAACACGGCCATATCAGTCAATTGTCACTCAATAAACCACTTACTTTTAACATCATGTTTTTTGACATCACTCATCCAATTGGAGTCAATGTCATGAGTTCCACTGATTTTATACTTCATATCTGCATTATGAAGGATTTGGAGCCATACCGGAGATATGTGGGTAAACTTGTGTCCAAACCACTTGGCAATATCATAGCCATGATTATTCCACTGTTCAAAATGAATTGTCAAATGAATGTCTGCTAAAACCATTGTCTATGTTAAATCATATGTCAAACATACTGGAGTAATATATCCCAGGCTAATGCCTTGGAAATGTCGGACTGAAGCATGTGTGGGGCATCTTGATTTATGCTGAACAGCAATATCCTTTAAACGGGGATTAGGCACCAAATATTCATTGGGCAGGGTGCCATTCATACAAGCGATCTAGACACAAAATAAACAATTGTTATTAACAGGAAAATTGATTGTAAAACAAACTACCACATGTCGTAATAGAAACCTACATCTTGCGAGAAAGCTGAGGCAACCAAAACCACAATGAGGATTCCAAAGGCAATCATAATTTTGAGATTGAAAATTCTCCAAATTCAAACTTTGGTGAAATTAATTATTATTATTAATAATCAATATTGAGATTTGAGATAAAGCCAAATCACACATCTGCACCAGAACGCCTGCAAACATGCAGAGTCTAAACAGTAAAAATCAAGTTTTACTTAAAATTTGAAATTTTCCCATTGAAAACTTTGTACTTGTAGAACCGAACCTTCGTCTGAATTTTTTGTGTGAACCTACCACTAAAAATCAAATCAAATAAGTCTCTGTGAAAGTTTCAAGATCAAGATCTGCCCTGAACACGTCGTCTGCTAAATTGTTATGCCGGTGACACTGCTGCCAACACTCAATGTTTTTGAAGTAAAGTATAAATTGAAAATTTAGTTTATTTGTGACAATGTGAACGAAACAAAAAAAAACAAATTATGCACAAACGTTTCAATGTATTTGTTTGGTAAAGCAAATAATCTATAAAATGTGCATTACTTTGTGCAAAAAGAACCAATATAAATGTTGGTCATTTTCATCACTGTTGTTTCTTATCGTCTGCAACCAAACAGTCTACACTCATTCTTAATTTCTTCGGCGATTTTCTCTGAATAACTGCTGATTCATACCTTCTCACAACTTTTTACGTCGCTGTGTAAATGCAGTGCGATGAAGCTCGTTTCATTAAAAGGTATTTTTTTGTGCTGAAATGTTCTGTGTTTTAAACCGTGAAATTTACTTTGGTGAGGTTATCATGTCATTTTGACAGTTCTAATCAAACAACAAACAAACCCTTTTGAAATTGGCATTACCTTTGTCCAGGAAAATTCGGGCTGGAGCTATTGATGTTCACCCGACGGAGACCGCTCTGGTTGTCAACTATCAGCTGGAAGCTTTCATACTTGGAGAGCTCGGAGATCCCATGCTTGGAGATAAGAAGGTAGATTTGACAAATCTGACAAAAAGATCCAATGCTCATATCTGCTGAAACTTCTTCTGTTTAATTTATGTTTCAATTTCCTTTTGCAGGATTGCCAGAAAATAATCCGCTTGAAGAGTTTGAACTCTGATACAGATTGTGCGGCTCTTGCCAAAGAAGTTGTTGAAAAATGCAGCCTTATCCATGCCTCTAAGCTTGCTGAAGTTGAACACCTCATATATTACCTACAAAATCGCAAAGAAAATCCCTTCAATGGTATTGCTTTTTAAAATAATTGGATGCCTTGTTTTTGTTTATGCAGTGTTCTTTTTAATTTAAAATATTGTTTTTTCTAACTATCTATTTTTAGACCGTGTGGAAAGTCCTCTCCAAAGCTCAGTATATTCTGGTACTGAGAGCCCCTCTGCTATGGATATGATAGGTACTCAGGTGTTTCAATTTCTTATTTCATTATCACTTGTAACACTGATACTTAAATCAGTTTTTTTTTCTCCTTATAAAATTTTAGTTAGTGGAATCTCTGAGAAAGCAACAATTGCAAATATAGAGACGTATGTTGAATTGTTGTATGAAGATATAGCAGAAAAAGTAAGAGGATCAGGCCTCATTTTAGAGCTTGCAAAGGATCCAAACAACTTGGAAGATCTATCTAAAAATGGTAAACTTGGCATTCGTGAATATTCACTATACTTTGAAGTGTGGATTTTTTCTTAGTATGCTGATTATTTTCTTTCTATTGTACAGAATCACTTCTTAGTGCTCTATCAAGAGTTCTACGAGAAGATTGGAGAAAAAGTATGGAGCTAAGCACAAACATTGTATATGTTTTCTTTTGCTTTTCTACATTTTCTCAGTTCCATTCATTGGTCCTTCAGTACAAGGTAACATTACATCTCTCTCGGTGCCTCTCCATTTCACTCTCTTTCCCATACACTGCATGAATTTTATTTTTCATTCATTTCTGCTATTTCAGATTGGTTCATTGTGTATGGAAATCATTGATTTTGAACTGAGGCGTTATGATCAATGGAAAACTGATTTGGAAAGCTGCCGAAATAATAGTTTACCCCGGCCCAATGAGGCTCACAAAAACAACCATCCACCTAGTCAAGCTACTGATTCAAGGAAGTAAGTTTTACTCACTGCAATAATTAACTTTCAAATCATGTCATAGGTAGTTCTAAAAATTATGCTTTTTGATAGAATTGCCATTGGGCACAGCCACATTCCAGTAAGCCGTCGACCAAATGATGCTTCACCTAGCCCTATAGGTGCAGACGAAGAAAAAAAGAAAAGGGTACATATTTCATATTGCCTGTTTGGTCGAATTTAAATAAATTTTCATTCAACCATTTAAGCAACAATACAATTCTTGATCTAACAGAATAGCCTGCTTGCCCCTGGGGAAATATTGAAGAGGCATGTAGAGGCAGCATCTTCAAATGTTGATGGATCAAAAAGAAACAGCATGGTCAAGTCTCCTTCATATGGAATGGTCCGTTCACCATCTACGGATGACGGAAGGAGATCAGCTGAGAGCACCAAACATGGTTTATTGAGCGCCTACAGGTATGTCAACTCACATTTCTACTTTACTTTGCAAAGTTTTAGTTTTCCCCCTTCCAGTGCATTTCTGTTTTAGATCTATGACAGACAGTTGCGGTAGTGTTAGTAGTGTCGAAGGAGAAGCCAAGAAAGATAATGCTGATAAACAAAGAGAAGAATTCGAAAGGACTGCAAGAAAGTTTCGGACTCTCATTAAAAAGCAAGACCAACTATTGAGGGGTAAGTTCAATGTACTGTAATTGTGATTAGGGAAAGATTCAATCTAAATAATGAACTACCTTTATTTTTGACTGATCAACGTGTTTTGCAGTTTGCCTGTACCTTTTGCTGAACATAGCAGAGAACACAAGAGTGGAAGACAAGATGCGCAAGAAGAATGTTGTTGGTGTGCTCATGAAAACTTTGGAGCGGTCAACTCCTGAACTCCTCATACTTTCTGTCACATTTCTGAAGAAACTTTCTCTTTTCAAAGAAAACAAAGACATTATGGTAGGGACTCTAGCAACCAGAACAAAATGGAATCTAATTTTTCAGTTATAAGTAGCTATCTTAGATTCATACAAGTTATCATTTACAGGCTGAATTTCATATAATAGACAGACTACAACGTGTATTTCAAATTGGTAATCCAGAACTTGATCACGTTGCATTAAAACTATTATTCAATTTATCCTTTGATTCTCGCCTGAAAGAACGCATGGTCCGTGAAGGATATTTACCAAAGCTTGTCGGTATGCTCAGTAAGTACATTTCAGAATTGTCTTGTTGGTTGTAGTTCAAGATTCCACTCCTAGTTTTATCTTTTAACTTTACCATTCCAGGTGAGAAGCATCACCAATCAACAGTTCTAAAAATTTTATACAACTTAAGTATGGATGACAGAGTTAAATCTATGTTTGCTTACACTGATTGTGTCAACTCTGTAAGTAGCCCTGGACTCTGACAGCAGTGCAGTTGTCAATTACTCAAGGATTTTCAGCACATGATGTACTTTTTCTTGCAGGTTGTAGACATGATCCTCGGGTATGATAAAGATCAAGTTGATTTAGTTGTTGTTGCCCTTGCTATCAATCTGGCACTGAATAAAAGGAATGCAGAGATAATTGTTGAAGGAGGTAGATTACAGCTCCTCATGGATCAAGCTTTCAGAAATTTGGATTCTCTTTTGATGAAAGTTGTTCGGAACATCTCTCAGCATGAGTCCTGCAAATTAATCTTTGTTGTATGTAAATTCTCAGTTTGTTTTTAGTCATCAGATCTTGGATTGGAAGGTTATTACTTTGTATTTTAATCACAGGAATTTGTTGGTGACTTGGCAAAAGTCTTGACTCAGTGCTCAGACAAAGAATTTCTTTTAGAGTGTTTGGGTGTTATGGCCAACCTAACACTGCCAGATCTCGATTACTCTCAAGTTTTGGAGCAATTTCGGCTCATACCCTGGTTACGCAAGCACCTAGTGCCTGGTACAAAATTCAATTTTTTGGAGAGGTTTTCTCATTTCATTTAAAAATATGATGATAGTAATACTGTCTTTGTTCATTTGACAGGGAAATCTGAGGACGATCTTGTTTTAGAAGTAGTCATGCTATTAGGCACTGTTTCAGCTGATGAAAATTGTTCATCATTGCTTTGCAAGGCAGACCTGCTTCTATCATTAATTGAGCTTCTTAAAGGTAAACTAGCAAATATGTCGAACTTGCGGTTTCAACTATCTTTACTTTGTTTTATGTCTTAATCAAATTCAAAATGATTTCTGCTCTTGCAGCAAAGCAAGAGGATGATGAAATGGTCCTCCAAATTGTATATGTGTTTTATCAGATGGCAAGGCACAATTTGACAAGGGAATACCTTATTCATGAAACAGGTCAGAAATATGTAACTTGCAGAATTTTAAGTTTACAAAATGAAATTACTGAGAGTGAGACATTTGAAGTTTTACTTTTGTTTCATTTACAGAGGCCCCTGCATATTTAATTGACTTAATGCACGATAAAAACAGTGAAATCCGGAAGTTGTGTGATGCTTGTCTTGATGTGATTAAGGTGAGTGATGCATGTTTGACTCATTAATTTAAAGTACTAATTCCTGCAATTTTATTTCACTGACACTGAAAATAATACCCACTTAACGTACCTATTGTGATTTATTGAAGGAATGTAATGAGGATTGGGCGTCTCGCATCAAACTAGAAAAGTTTCGCTGGCATAACTCCCAGTGGCTGGAAATGGTTGAATCACAAGCCCTTGATTCATCTGGTTATGGTCAACTGGCTGATGATGTAGATTCTCTCCCTGCCTTTCTGAGTAGCGACATGCTTACTCACTCACTCCTTTTCCCGGCTGGTAAGACGCGGTCGCGGCTTCTCAAATTTCTGCCCTGCTTCTCTTAAAAAGGTTCTTGTATGTAAAAATGCATTTGTTGTATACAGGCTCCCATGTTTCATTGGATGATCTAGATGATATTGAAATAGTATCTAACAACACCCTCTCAGATGGAGAGAGTAGACCTGGAAGCAGGTGAGAGTTAATTCTTTTCTTGCTGCTATAGTAGTACCTCTGTTGTTGATTCTAATTCCAAATTGTTAATTGGCAGGGATGGAACAATTGATGCATACGGAAGCCCACAGAAGAATTCAAAAATGAATGGGCAGGGTGCTTTTAGTAATGGAATGATCTTGTCTGTTGGTGACTAAGCACAAAAACATCATTACATTGTGTGTAGTCATCTATTGTAATAATTTTCTAGTCACATTTGATCACCAAAACAAGATTTTATTTACTATGGCAGGAGTTTGTGCTTCTTTTTTATGGACTTTGTATCTGATTTAACCATACAAATGATTTTTTGCACTGTGTAGTTAAGATTCAGTATGATGTGTTTAGTACAATTGATTTATTGAGAGAAAATGCTGATGTGGCTTGCACACTGCTTAATTAAAAGACTTACAATTTCGTCCTTTGATCATGCTTCCAAGGTTCTTTGTCTTCATCTTCATTTTGTATCTCTACAATTTATAAGGAGAAACATTTTATTACATATGGCATAAACATTATTTTTATTATTTTGTGTGTGTTGTTCAGCATTCACTTCAAGATAGACTGCAATATTTGCCTCAACGAAAAATGCACTTAAATGATGCATTGTGATAATGTTTACTATATTTAGCCCACTTTTTGAAATGTGCTTTTAAAATTTTACTTCTATATTATTTGTCAATTGTAAGGGAATTTTCAATTAAATAATGATACAAACTTTCTATACTTTTCTTATTTATTAAGGACTTGCTAATCTTAAAACTACTCTACTTAACGTATTTAAAATAAGGCAACAAAAATAAAACTTCGTATCACATCAACGTACAAAGGTTCATGAGACTGTTTGGCAGTAAGTGAACTAACATATGACAGGGTCTGTTTGAAAAGCCAGCACACAATCAACCCAAACCTTCACATTAAATCACAAGCCTAGTGGCAAACATGGCGCAGTGCTACTTGCGCCCAACGTCTTCTCCATCTTACTTCCATGATACGGCCCCACAATAATGTCTTTTTCCTTCTTGTGAACTTTTGCCCATCATGAAACTGATCTGGCCTCGTCCGTGTCGAGTGCACTATGGGCTCCGCAAAAAAGTAATAATGGAACTATCACGAAAGGCGGCTCCGTACTAGTTACCTTCTGCTCTAGTGCTCCTCCTGCGCTTTTTTTTTTTTTTTTTTTTTCCTCTCAGAGAACTCCTCCTGCGCTTGTAGAGTTGCACGCTGCACGCTCGCTGCTCCGCTTGCCTGCGCGCAGTTGGGTTGCCTACCCGCAGGCGGTCGCGTCCAGGAGTGCGCCAATGATTGGATAGATCACGGTGAGCCCACGGAGTGCGCCCTCAGGACCGTATTGTAAACCGATGAACATGGGATGAGGGGGTGGTGGAAGCGGTCTGAGAGCGGTTTTCAAGTGAGCTCGCCGGGAGGTCTCTCCAATGGCCCTCCGCGGTGGTGGAGACTGGAAGTCTGCCCGCGGAGTGATCCAAATCCACCCGTTCGCGTTGACGCGGCTTTCTATCCCCACGGGACGATGCCGACGACCCCCCCCCCCTCCCAAACTCCTCGTCAGGAAGTTTGACTTAAACCATCCGCCGTCGTGGTGGGCCGATCGGTTAGTGTAAGGGGGCCTGGGGATGTAAACTCGCGAGGGTTGTTCTTCGCACACTCTGATCCTCATCATCTCCAATCATCTCGAGTTCGCGTTTCCCTGCTCTTGCCGGCTCCTTCACATCGCCAGCCCCGTTGCTAAACTTTGGTTTCGCTCCTTGAGAACAACATGACGTCCGTTGCGGTGAGTTGGCGGGCGGGGCGGACGAGGCGCACCCGCCCCGCCCCGCCCCGCCTCGCCCCACTGCGCACTTTGCTGCGCCCCTTCAAGTCCGTTGGAGTCCGACCCCCCGAGGGGTTGCCGCGGGCGGGGCTCAGGTCGCGGTGGTGGCGCACAGCCCCGGGTAGGTGGCGGAGCAGGCGGCCGGGCAGCCCGAGCAGGCCGCGCCCGCCCGGTAGACCCGCCCGCCCTGCACGTTGCCGCCGGGCCCGTAGTTGCACACGAGGATCTCGGTGAGCACGTCGACGGACGAGTACCGCGACCGGCCGCAGCCCAGCTTCCAGGTGTCGGCCCAGGCCAGCTGCGAGAAGGCCGCCGAGGTCGGAGAGAACCTGATAACGGAGAAACACGCAATCATTTGAATAAAACGTCAAGGCCTTCTACGAATATTAATAACAAAGGTGTGAAGTCGCACCTTTGAAAGGTGATAAGGGTTTTGTGTTTAGGTTTTACAAAAAGTATTAAAACTGACGCCAAAGGCACGTACTCATTTTTTAGAACTCTTTAGTGTATTTGGAAGGGTTCTTTATTTATTAGCACCCCTGCAATGGTGCGACTTTGTTTTTTCAGTGCGGTCTCGAGATTCGGCATTGCTGATCTGGAGGGTCACGATTCGCCCCCGGAGGCAACACGGCTCCAAGGACCAAAGTGCCGAGGGACTGGAGGAGGGGATGAG